CTGTACGATTAGCTCTAAAGTGCAAAGCAAAAGGACATTCAGTAACTTGTTTCAAATTCTAATACCTGAATATTTAATAATCTTAGTTTTTGACTTGGTCTCAGACCACAGATAAGTGGCATTTTAGTTTATATTAAAGCAAGGTCAAAAGTAAGCATAAGATGATAGTCAGACTATTTAAACAAGCAAAAAACTATGGCAGAGGAATTCCCAACCCCATCCTCCTATCTGCATTCTCAAGCACTGACTAGGGGAAATTCTCAAAGGCATTTAGTGAATTTTATTGCATTGTCTTTTTGTAATGGCTCCGCTCCCTGCAGCTGTAGGTGCTCTTTGATGGCACAATTTCTGTTAAGTCAGTGCCTGTTGTGGGTGAGATTTCACAAGCTGGTCTTGCAGGCTGGAGAAGCAGCAGTATCTAGATATGATTTAAGAAAAAGGAGAAACCTAGATATGACTCTTATCTTTAAAGATTAAATAAGATTGGTGGAGGGTACGAAGGAGCCTCAGTTGTATGAGGCAGTCCTACTGGCCCCCATTACAGCAGTGAGGCCTTCACAATCTTTAATATGTTTACCTTCACAACACTGTCTGAGGTAGGGAGGTGCTGTTACCTCTATTTTATAGGTGGGGAACTAAGGCACAGAGAGGCAAAGTGTCTTGCCAAGGATTGTGCAGGTTGTTTGGTGGAACAGAAACTTGAACCAAAGTTTTCCAAGTACTAGGCTAATGCTCTAACCACTGGACCATCCTTCTAAGCGTGTTAGACTTACTACGGACTTAAATTCCAGTTAATTTTCTGATACTTACCCTTCTCAGAAGTAAGGGAAAAAGTGAGGGCTGCGAGAAATAACATTAAAATTAGGCTTCTGATTTATCAATTTAAAAAAAATGTATTATGGTAGCACCTAGGAGTCCTAGCCCCCCTTTGAAGCAGTCATGAAAACTTTGAAAGCATGAACCAAGTGCATCCTTAAAGTGTTTACATGAGTCTATAAAAAGCCTAGTACAAGAGACTAAGAGGTGTAAAATTCTCTCTTCATGTCAGTACTGACTCAGCTGTCCAGCAATGACATAAATCACATTAACAGGAACACCCAGCCAATGTGCTTATCCCAATGGTCCCCTGGGCCTCTCCAGGTGCCAAAAGCCCAAACTGTTTCCTACCTGGCTGCCAAAACTTGCAGCTTCCCCTGACAGCTCTGAAAGTTGTGCATTATCAACCTAAAATTCTGTGGCACAATGAAAACCAGAAAATAGGGAGTCTGCATAAAATCAATTGAATTTATATCCAGATGAGCAAGGCTCTGCGGATTGCATTTTCATATTTAATTCAATAAAAACATCAGTTATATGAGAAGCTTCCAGAGCAATTCCACAATTTCCGCAAAGGCTACAGCTCCAGGTGCCTTGCTACAGAATTAAGGTCCGCATTGTCAGAGTTCAGAGGAATTTTACCTAACACATGTAGGATAGAAATAAAGTAGGCCGGAGAGACTGCTGGATGATGGTGAGAGATGATGTACCCACTCTATCCCATATGACTCCTGCTATGCTCCCCATAGTTTCTTCCCCTATGTTTCAGAACCTGAACTCTGTCTCCTCCAGACTGCTTTTGGCAGCTCAGCAGTCCTCTTGCCTGTTTCCATTTGGTACCAAGTCTTACTTGCTTTCTCTCTCCTGTCCCTGCCCCACCCCCAAATAGCTGACAGATTGCTACAAGGAGGCAAGAACTGGAGCTGGTGGCTGCTCCAAGGAAGGGAAGCAGTGCCCAGTCAGTGGGCAAGGGAGACCACCTCCAAACTCCTGGGAGAGAAGCAAAAGTGGCTTCCTGTTGCCCCATTGCAGTAGGGCAGCACGTTAAGAATTGTTGGCAGCTTCTACCTTATTTTCAAGCCCCTCTTTTTCCTACCTCTCTCCCTCCCCCAAACAAAAATGAGTTCAAATCAAAGCTTTCCCAGGAGCTGGCTCAGAACTGTCTCATGAGAGCTAAAAATGATCACAGGGTCTGCTATAGTCAAAGTTAAATGCACAGCTGAGCTCATGGATTGGCTTTCCCCCAGTAAGCTGTGTGTATATACACTACCCATGAGGTGTTCCTTCTGGAGGCTGGGAAGGAAGGAAGAAACTTAAAACTCAGAATGGTATTATTCTTTTAATTTTTTTTTCCTAAGTGGGAGTGTCTCAGATACTATGGGGAATGCTGGTGGGGATAGAATTCAGGGGAATACTTCCTACCCCCTCTTTTTGTGGAATAAAAGCATTCTCTGTATTACAGTATTCAGTCCACACCATAAATATATTTTCTTAGTGTTGGTCCTGGTGAAATAGTTTCCTTTCCCACCCCCAGGAAGTGATGTAGCTATTGGCTGCCAGGAGCGCAATGGTCCAGAGTTGTGATAAGAGGGTGCTGATATCTAAAATAGCTCAAGTGTACATCTTCCATCTAAGAGATGAATGCATGAGGAAGGGTGGCTATCCTGAGTCAACCTAATTGGTTACAAATGAGCAGACTTGAAATGGCAGGTAGAGAACAGACAGGTTAAAGGCTTTATGGCCCCAGAAGTAAGTGTTCATAAACATTTTTATAATAGTCCAACATTTAGTCCCCTAAAACAGCAATATGTACAGAATCCATGCATGCAATAGCTACAGTGCTAAAACAGTTAGACCTATAGCTTTGAAATAGTGTCAAGAGCAATGAATATGAGTGAGAGAGAGAGGGAGAGAGCAGGGTAAATTGGAATCGCTCCTAGCTGACTGATCAACCAGAAAGAAGTCCCCTACATCCTTCCCTCTCATGTCAGCCTCTGACTTCTAGCCCTAATGAAATGAACCCTAACCCTAGTTACCCTGCTTGATTCAAAAAGAACAGGAGGACTTGTGGCACCTTAGAGACTAAAAAATGTATTTGAGCATAAGCTTCCGTGAGCGACAACTCACTTCATCGGATGCCTGCCCTGGAAAACCCGCTTGATTCAAGAAGCACTGAACTACTAAAATGCAATAGCAGTGGCTGTTAGATAATGCCCCAGTGCCACACAGGCTTCCAGTTGCATTAGATGAACAAAATGCTCAGGCTCTGGCAGATCTTGTCCTAAAAGTAAGTATGGGGCATCTTCTGTAGATGGTACTCTGCTGAAATCCCTTAATCTGGCCCAAATTTCCCTTTTCTGTAAACCCTTAACCCCTTTAGTTTTCTGCTGCTGCAAACTGTTTGCCTCCATTACAGAAATCTTGTGAGCGTGGAGTGAGTGCTTTTGCCTTGTCCTTCCTAATCAAGTGGGATTTATGCATGACATTTGCATGCTATAAATTTATGATGTTAATGGCATCCTGTCATCAAGAACGGAGTGACAGAAGATATATAATGGCTGGTGCTATGGAAGAGCTTTTGTCATTGTCACTTGCCCTATCTCATCTTTATATTTCACAAAATGGCTTTTTGAATGGGTAGAGAAATCCAGACAATCTCATCAAAACTCACTCTGTTGTGGTATGTGAGAGTCAATAATATTTTCATGATGGGATAACCCTAAGAGCTAATATATTAAAACTCTGGCTTCCGCGAACAAGCTCTCTCTATGTGCAGAGGACCTCCGTAATCTGCTTTTCCTATTCCAGTGACTTTTGTAGAATTTTTAAAAAGCTTAGGAGGTTTTAGGCATATGGTAAGTTGGGGATAGGCAGTGTTGGAGGAGGTGGCAAAGAAGCCAAACTAGTTTGCTAGCACCATTCTCTCCTGCTTCCCAATACAACACTTCTCTTCTGAATTAGATATCTGGCCATAAGTAAGTCCTGACATCTCCATTATGTTCAGGTTTATCTTTGTCTTGTCTAGGAGATATTCTCTTGGATAAGTGGGCTCCTTTTTGGTGACATGTGAGGTACTGAGTCAGTCTAATCTGCATATCCTCCACAAAGAGGAAGTCCGGATCCCTTTTGCTCTCCCTATGCCATTTAAAAAAAAATACTTAATGTGGTAATCAGCTCCTTCATCTTTGCTGGTCTAACTGTGACTTCAAAATACCCTTCTTTACGTCGCAAGCACTTTAAAGCAGGATCACATTACTGTCCATGTTTATACATGCATATTGCACAATAGGATCCCCATCCTGACTGAACTTAGTGTAATATACATATTAAATAAGGATGCTGTGCGTATATATAGGAGTAGGTGAAAGTTGTCATTCCTGGGATGAATGGGTGAGGAAGATTGGGAAAAAGAAAAGGAGTACTTGTGGCACCTTAGAGACTAACCAATTTATTTGAGCATGAGCTTTCGTGAGCTACAGCTCACTTCATCAGATGTTTACCGTGGAAACTGCAGCAGACTATTCTCTGTGTGTATATAAAGTCTGCTGCAGTTTCCACGGTAAACATCTGATGAAGTGAGCTGTAGCTCACGAAAGCTCATGCTCAAATAAATTGGTTAGTCTCTAAGGTGCCACAAGTACTCCTTTTCTTTTTTGCGAATACAGACTAACACGGCTGTTCCTCTGAAACCGAAGATTGGGAACTGGTTTATTTGGTAAGCTTTGTAATTTACATGTGCCTGGAATAATTAGGAGCACTCTTAAAAATCAAAATAATACATACTACACTTTAATTCTGCCTTTCTTCCTATCCCATATGTGTCTTTATGTGTTTTTACATGATCTCATGGCATTAAGTGATGAGCCATTCACTTAACAATTGGAATATAATGCAAAGGAGCTGTACTTTCTCTAACTGAAAATGTATACATGGTGTAGCATTTTGTATGAGTGCATGTTTGTTGTGTAGTGTCATGAAAGAGCTATTGTACTGTATACCTCCCTGCACTGAGGCAGAGTTGGATTCCCATGAATCACCTTAACTCAAAGTTTGGTTCAATAATATTGCCATTTTAAGTTCTTTGCATATAACAGTGAATTTTCAATACTGTAGTCAATCTCAAAGCTATAGATTCATTTTTGTTGTTTTGTTAAGAGACTCAAATAGTGTTTTTTCTCTTGTAGGCAGGATGTGGGGTCCAGTCAGAATAGACTATGCTTGCAGGTTTTGAAGGCTGTCCAGAAATTGGCTCGTGAGTCAACCATCATGGCTCGAGAAACTTGGGAGGTTTTATTATTGTTTCTCCTACAGATTAATGACACGCTTTTGGCAGCTCCCACTGTGCAAGGTTTGTGTCTTAACTTTTTTTCATTTGCATCTCTTATGGATATAAGGGTTTTGGCCCCCAAATGTAGTTTGTTTTCATGTTGAAAAACTTATCAAAAGTTGCTGGTGGCCATGTAAGAACAATCACCCATCTCTAGTATTTAAACTCTGAATTAAAGTTGGATGGCCTGAAATTGAACCTGCTTAAACAATTTCTGTCCTGTATGAATTGTCAAAACATACTCTGCAAGACATCTGATGGTCCATCCCAGATTACTGGGTCTTCTGTCTTTGGGGTCCCATAGTTCTGTCTGTCAGCTCTGTATTCTTTCTTTTCCCCTAGCTAGAGAGGCAGTGTGAAGACACGTCAGTACCTACCCAAGTGTAAACTAATACGTACATGGTCAGATCTCTCTCTCCCACACGCGCACACACACACGTTACTGTGATAACGTGTCTAAGTAGGCGAATCCCTTGTTGCACAGGTGTTCGCATTACCTATATGGTTAGGCTTTGCACTATCAGCTATAACATTTGGACTTTTTAAAAACCTTTTTTAAAAACTGGATGCACATGTAGAAAATAAGCAAATGGTACTGTTGTAGATCAGAATAGGTTTAAGGGTATTTAAACATTGCTTATAAACTGAAATCTATACAAATTCAAAGTGGTATGAGCATGATAGCCATGAGATTCCTTTAGGATCAATAGGGTTTCCTAGGGGAGATGGCTGAAAGAGATCTAGCATCTTAAATGGCTTTAAATGCTTGTTTTGTTCCTGCATAAGGTGGCATTGCTGAGAATCTGGCTGAGAAACTGATTGGTGTGCTGTTTGAAGTGTGGTTGCTAGCTTGCACTCGGTGCTTTCCAACACCCCCTTATTGGAAAACTGCCAAAGAAATGGTGGCCAACTGGCGGCATCACCCTGCTGTAGTGGAGCAGTGGAGCAAGGTTATCTGTGCCCTTACTTCCAGGTAGGTGAAACCTCAAAAGAAACTGACATTGAGATGAACACACTTACAGTGTATGTTGTTCAGCCAGTTTTCTGTGATGATTGAGTCTTTCATCTGTCTGTATTTTCTGTTTGTTTGTGGAATGCAGTTTTAAAGAGACAAATATATTCCAATATTTGCAGAATAACTGCATGTCCATTATTTCATAATTACAGGTACAGTAATCATATCTATCATATGGTTGATCACACTTTTTCAGACAGTAGCAAATTTGAATAACAAGCAGCTCATCCAAAATACCTGCTAAAACCACGTAAACTTCAATATCTATGAAGTTTGGTTCTATGGATATTTTTTTTTCTGTTCATATTTTTAGTAAATGTTAGCATTCCATAAATGAACAGTTCAGTGTATTGTCTCTTTGTGTCTGTGTATAATCTTAATATCTCTGTTATCCAAAACATTACAATGTTACCTAGTCTTGTTACCTAGTCTTGTTACCTAGTCTTGTTACCTAGTCTTGTTACATATCATGTTCCATTGTTCTGACTTTTTATCTTGTCTACAGTCGCTTTCAGTTCAACTCTAGGAAAACTTCTGCTGTCCAAGTGCTTCTGAAAATATATGTCATGTCATGCTGTACAGCTTCTCATCACATGTATTTAGAAGAAGATGATTAAGGTTGGAAGAGACCTCAGGAGGTCATCTAGTCCAACCCCCTCCTCAAAGCAGGACCAACACCAACTAAATCATCCCAGCTAGGGCTTTGTCAAGCCGGGCCTTAAAAACCTCTAAGGATGGAGATTCAACCACCTCCCTAGGTAACCCATTCCAGTGCTTCACCATCCTTCTAGTGAAATAGTTTTTCTTAATATCCAATCTAGACCTCCCCCACTGCAACTTGAGACCATTGCTTCTTGTTCTGTCATCTGCCACCACTGAGAACAGCCTAGCTCCATCCTCTTTGGAACCCCCACTTCAGGTGGTCGAAGGCTGCTATCAAATCCCCCCTCACTCTTCTCTTCTGTAGACTAGAAGAGGCTTCCCTCAGGCTCTGCTTGTAAATCATGTGCCCCATCCCCCTGATCATTTTCTTTGACCTCCTCTGGACTCTCTCCGATCTGTCCACATCCTTTCTGTAGTGGAGGGCCCCAAACTGGATGCAGTACTCCAGATGTGGCCTCACCAGTGCCGAATAGAGGGGGAATAATCGCTTCCCTTGATCTGCTGGCAATGCTCCTACTAATGCAGCCCAGTATGCCGTTAGCCTTCTTGGCAACAACGGCACACTGTTGACTCGTATCCAGCTTCTCGTCCACTGTAATCCCCGGGTCCTTTTCTGCAGAACTGCCTTTACCCAGTCGGTCCTCAGCCTGTAGCAGTGCATGGGATTCTTCCATCCTAAGTGCAGGACTCTGTACTTGTCCTTGTTGAACCTCATCAGATTTATTTTGCGGAATCCTCCAATTTGTCTAGGTCACTCTAGACCCTATCCCTACCCTCCAGCATATCTATGTCTTTCCTCCCAGCTTAGTATCATCTGTGAACTTGCTGAGGGTGCAATCCATCCCATTATCCATGAAGATGTTGAACAAAACCGGCCCCAGGACCGACCTCTAGGGCACTCCACTTGATACCGGCTGCCATCTGGACGTCGAGCTGTTGATCATTGCCCGCTGGGCCCAACGATCTAGCCAGCTTTCTATCCACCTTTATAGTCCCTCCATCCAATCCATACTTTAACTTGCTGACAAGAATACTGTGGGAGATCGTATCAAAAGCTTTGCTAAAGTCAAGGTATATCACGTCCACTGCTTTTCCCCATATCCACAGAGCCAGTTATCTCATCATAAAAGGCAATCAGGTTAGTCAGGCATGACATTTCCTTGGTGAATCCATGCTGACTGTTCCTGATCACCTTCCTCTTCTCCAAGTGCTTCAATATGGATTCCTTGAGGACCTGCTGCTTGATTTTTCCCAGGACTGAGGTGAGGCTGGCTATTCTGTAGTTCCCCAGATTCTCCTTCTTCCCTTTTTTAAAGATTGGCACTATATTTATTTGCCTTTTTCCAAGTGTCCGGGACCTCCCCCGGTCACCATGAGTTTTTCAAAGATAATGGCCAGAGCTCTGCAATCACGTCAGCCAACTTCCTCAGCACTCTCAGATGCATTGGATCCGGCCCCATGGACTTGTGCATGTCCATTTTTTCTAAATAGTCTTTAACCTGTTCTTTCACCACTAAGGGACACTCGCCTCCTCCCAATACATACATATATATACACATATTTGTGTGGCATCTTTTATTTTGTACAACTAAATACACAATTCTTCTGGCTATTTGTAGCTGCTTAGATGTAGTAGTATATAACGTTTATGATGTGTTTTTATGATTCGTTGGTTTGGAAAGAACAGTTGTAACTCCCTGTTGTAAACAGTTGTAAAGCATGCATCAGTGTCCTGTTCCACTGCTGCTCCATGTGCTTTATGCCCAGATCTTACTGCCCTCTGATGTCTAACAGTTTTAATGCCACTGATATAAAGTAACCTGTGGGTTCTGTGACACTTGTGTAAAATGTAGTACTTCTGTTGTGGATTTGTTTGCTTATTTAAATCTAATATATAAATAGCTGAGGTTTTTTGATGCCAACCTTAAGCTCAGTGGTGCTTCTAGTCTGCATGAGTACCTTTTAGCCCAAAGAAATTCTAATCCAACTTCCAAAGAGCAAAGTGTCTTTTTAATAAACAACTTTCCTGAATTTGGCTGCTAGTAATATGCTCAGAGTAGGTTTCCTGAATCAGAACAATGGTGATTGGTTAGTCCCATAGGGGTGCATGTGTATGTGTAAATTTAATATTTTGGTATCTAAGAGTATTTCTTCACTTCAGAGTTAACTGGGAATCTTCTGAGATGTTGCCCTTTACTGCCTCTCCCACCAGAAAACAAATTTTTCACCCAAATTTAGTGGTGCTCTAAATCCAGGCTAGCTGGCCCTGCTGGAGTATAGGCTAGGCTCAGGTTCTGCTTTCACTTGAGCTGGTAACCCACCCACTTTGCAGTGAGGACACAGGCTAAATTGCTCAAGTGCTGGTAGTCTTCCAGTGCCTTCCCACAATTCGCTCCATGTGCTTATAAGGAAAGACAAGTTCTCCCACAATTCACTGGGAAAGAATCCCAGAGCAGCTCAGCTTATTACAGCACCAAGAACCATAGGATGTCCCCTATAGCACCCCTAGTGAGACACACGGGTAAATGTAGCACCAGTGAGGACACTAACTTGGGTAGGGCTTTGCGGTGTGGTTGCTTAGATCTGGGCTAGGCGACCTTGGGTTCTGAATCTGATCTCCTGAGTTAACTCTGCAGTAAAGATATACCCTCATTGTGTTAGAGGAACTGGTTCAAGAGTTCAACTTTAACATACTCTTACTTTGAAAGCAATTAAATTACTACCTGGCATGAATCTGTCTTCAGCATTTACCAGGTGCAAACCACTAAAATATCTAGGTGTGAAAATACAATTTCAAGAAAAGCATAATCACCCAGTTGGACGTTGCTCTTGCTGTCCTACAGTTTGGCCTCTTTGACTTGATTTTCTTCCCTTCTTTCCTGCTCTTCCTAGTATAACAAATTTGCTGCTATGAAAAGTGTGGCCCATGACCCGAAGTGCCTAGAGTAGCCCAGACTGAAAATGGCAAGGTCAGGGCAGGCCGCAAAAGGAGAGCAGATTCTCCGAAAACTGATGGTTAACCCTATAGTTAAATTCACCAGCCAGTCACAACATTGTGCTCTTGATCCCCCATGCTGGTTATCCAGAAGCTTAAAAATAAATAAATCTCACAACCTCCTTTATTGCATTCCAGTTTCTGGCTCCCAATCCATGACTAAGTCCAGTAAAGTAAGAAGTTACTTCAAACTCTGTTGACTTTACAAAATGTTCTTCTTATCCCCAAAGGACCAGACACAGTACCAGATCAATACTTGTTTGGATCTTACCCAAAATACAACTCTGCCAGCCAATCCTTTGTTATCTAAAACTAAAGGTTTTATTATATAAGAAAAAAAACAAAAGAGAAGAGTTGTTAAGAGTCAAAGCAATTAGATACATACATATGACTTCAGAGTTCATATATCACGTTCTGAACAGCATTGGAGAATTTGCTGGCTTGTAAAGTATCTGTGGAACACATCCAAAGCTTGGATAGGTCTATCAGTCCATTTTTCATAGCTTCAATTTGTAGAAAACTCACTCCAGAGCTGAGAAGCAGGATTGAAGACAAACTGGAGATGATGCAGCTGCTTTTTTATATCCTTTCCCATGCGGTTGTATATCCTTTTTGTCCCAAACACAAGCTCACAGCCCATGGGTACATAGGCGCCAACTTCTTCTGGTGCTGGTGGGTGCTCAACCTGCTCCTAACCTGCCCCCATTCCAACCCCTTCCCCAAAGTCCCCACCCCAACTCTGCCCCCTCCCTGCCCCTATTGGACTCCTTCCCAAAATCCCTGCCCTGGCCCCGCCTCTTCCCCACCTCCTCCCCTGAGCAAGCCACGTTCTTGCTCCTCCCCCCTCCCTCCCAGAGCTTGTTACACTGCGAAACAGCTGTTTTGCGGCGGCAAGCGCTGGGAGCTACGGGGAGAAGCGGGGATGCGGCGCGCTCATGGGAGGAGGTGGAGGCAGAGGTTAGGTGAGGTGGGGGGGTGGAGAGGGGAGCTTGGCTGCCGGTGGGTGCAGAGAACCCACTAATTTTTTCCCGTGGGTGCTCCAGCCCCAGAGCACCCACAGAGTTGGCGCCTGTGCATGGGTATGGAAAAGTACGTGGAGTCCCCTGTCCATAAGCATGTCCCTGCATGTCCTGCTGACTACGTGTAGCCCCTATCTTCTCTCAGTGGGTTCCTTGTACAGCTGATTGCCCTTGTTGGGCCATCAAGCAGGTTGGATAGTGCTAATGCCAGTCTGTCTGGGGGAGTCGCCCAGAAACACAGGACAAATTTGAGATACAGATATAACACATTTATAATTCATGGTAAGATTAGATAGATATAACAATATTATCATATTTAGCAGATTATAACTTTTCCAGTGATACCTTACATGGCCTATCTTGTATACTATTCATTGCTATTTTGTAATATTGGTATCAGTATTTTAAATGTTCACCCACATTCCATACAGGGTCACAGATAGCCATCTCAATTAGCTCAGATGGGGCACTAGTTGGAGAGGAAAATATCAAGTGAGGTTTTTTTTTCCAGATTGGGGGTGTGCAAAGGATAATTTTAAGAAGAGTAAAAACTTGAGATTGAGGTGGCAGGGACTCAGTTTGGAGAAGAATGAGACCATTCTGATTGGAATCTGTGCCATTTCTCACCGGTTTGCAAGATAGAGGAATTGGAGGTGGCAGGTTGGATCCTAAGTTTCTTTTGGATGTCAGAAAACACAAGAAAGGTTTGTTCCATCGCTGCTTGGCCAGAAGGTTATCACTCTTTCCATCTGTGACCTCACTTCAATTATCCAGGCCTTTACCATCTTGAGATTGGATCATTGTAATGTGCTCTGTGGTGCTATACTTCGAGACCACTTGGAGACTCCAGCTTCTGCTGATTGTAGTGGGTCTGCTTGATAAGCTTGGCAACTCATGGAGAGCATATATTATACCTGGATTTGCACTGGCTCTTTGTTTCCAGGTGTAATTCAATGTGTTGATTCAAATCAATAAAAGCCCGAAGTGGTTTGGGACCTAATTACTTGAGAAACTGCCTCTCTCCTTTTGCAATACCTTGTCAGTTAAAAAAAACAAAACACATGGCACACAAGCTGGTAGTCCCCTGCTTTTAAACAGCGAGGGTGTTGTACTGGCAGAGTGTTTTCAGAGAGGGTCCCGGCATGTGGAATGCCTTCTTAGTCTGACAGAGTCCAAGCACAGGGAACTTTCAGGCATGCTCCAAGGCTGTAGCTTTTGAGAAGGGTGGGATAGAGAGGGTTAAATGGATTGATGATTAATTTTGAATGGATGACTGTGTAAAATGTTCATGGTTTATTTAGTAAGGTTTGTAATTGGTTTTTATTTTACATGTGCTTAAAGCAATATATGGTGCATCTTTTTACATATGTACAAACAGTGCCAAGTGTGAGGAGTACTAATGCAATGACAGCCTTACTGACTTGTCCCCTAGATTGCTGCGTTTTACATATGGACCTTCATTTCCTCCATTTAAAATTCCTGATGAAGATGCCAGTCTGATTCCTCCTGAAATGGACAACGAGTGCATTGCACAGACTTGGTTTCGCTTTTTACATATGCTGAGGTAATGTAATACTCATATATGAACATGATATAAAGCATGCAAGAAAGAATATCAACAAATCCATGTTGGATGTGAGTGAAGTTATCCCAGCAAGGAGAGAGAACTAATATTAAGTGTCTGAAATTAATAAAGACTACTAAAAAAGTGCTCCTTGTGACAGTGCCACAAGGGCTGTGAGTGGGAGTTAGAAAACGTTTTTCTCGTACAACTTTGAACTTAGTGGTTTTTGCAGAATTTAAGAGTTTGCCTAAAAAAAAAAAAAAAAAAATAGAAATTTTTAACTTATGATTTGGAGAAAAAAATTTGCAAATGTGACCTGATGCACCATTGTCTTTTAAGACTGTAAACAGGAAGACTAAAACAATAGCTCTAGGAGATGTGAATTGCTTCCATTCATCTCAGTGGGGTATTAAATAATCTTTGTAGGTCACATTTTTTAAAATGGGTGTGTATCCTTTTTTTGTTCATGATGTTCTTCAAGTGCTTGTTCATGTCCATTCCAACGCAGGTGTGCATGCACTGCATGTACCACCACGGGAAAGTTTTCCCTCAGTGGTGTCCGTCAGGTTGGCTCTGGCGCCCCTGGAGTCGTGCCGGCATATAGCGTCCTGCCACCCCACCGCTCCTTCAGTTCCTTTTTACCGCCTCTCGTGGTTGCTGGAACTTCGGCTCGTCTCTTGCATTCTGCAAATGCCTTCTTTCAGTGGACTTTTTCCTGTAAAAATTGTAAATAGTTACTGTTAGGATTAAGTTAGTGGGTAGCTAAGTAGTGTAATATAGGTAGTAGCGGGGCTAGGCCGCCCTGCACCACAGTATGCCTCGGTCCCAAGGGTTCAAACTGTGTATGGTATTCCACAAACCAATGCCGGTTAGTGACCCACATGATATCTATCTTAAGTGCCTGGGAGAGACCCACGTGCAGGAGCTTCAGACCCAGGACAAAAAAGGACAGAGAAACTAGACTTAAGTTCCTCCATACGGAGGCAGCACTCCGTCCCGCTTCGGAGCTGACGCAGGTGGAATCGGCACCGTGTACTTCTAGGTTAGTAAGAAGTGCCCTGCTGTCTCTGGTGGTGGTGCAGTGCGGTTCCACATCCCCGGTACCGAGAAAGGACTTTGCTACTGACGGTCTGGGGCTCCCGGCACCGACATGAGTCCCCAGCACAGAAGAAATCAACTCTGGCATGGGACTCCAGGCACCGTTCACAATTGCCGGTGCCTCAGAAAAAGACAGACTGGGGGCGCTGTCCAACCCCAAGGTCTGCAGGCGATAGGGCTTCTGGTAGAGTGTGACCCATGCTGGGCTAGTTGGAGGCACCAACACGGTGTGTGGCATCATCGACTCTGGCCCTGGAAAGGGTGTCATTGAGTCTGGTACCATTGGACTCCCTGCCAAGGGAGAGCCACTGCAGCACAACAGCCTTGGCTTTACCGTTTATGCCGGAGGCTGTAAGGGACCTTCTTTTCTCCGTGGTGCTACCATCCTTGGCCACAGTGACCACGCCAGAACTGAGGGCCACCGTGGCAGGGAGACAGGTGCTGGCGAACGGCAAGCTGGTCATGATGTTGTGGCACGAATCCCCTCGTTCATGGCACCACTCTCTGGCACTGGTCTGTACCACCCCGCCTTGGTTGCCAAGAAGCCACTCCTCAGACTCTGATTTGGGAGCAGAGTCCTAAGCCTCACGCAGGAGCAGACATTGCTCCTATAGGCAGCACTCTGCGACCGGACATGGGCATGCCGCTGGCGACATGGCCACCGGCACAATGGCAAATGCCCCTGCAGTGGCCATTTTGAAATCCCTGAGCGTTCCAACCTATCCAGGGGTCCCAGTCCATAAGGTTGTATTCTGCAATATCAGAGGCACGAGGTCCATCCCTCTTGGAAACAGGGATCAGTCCCCCTGTGCCGAGCCTGGTGCTGAACAGGAGGTTGCCTCCTTACCGGACCCATCTGGAGCAGAGGGAGAAATACAGGTCCAGGTGCCTGTGCAAGCTTCTCCATCTTCCTCTCTCAACGAGGCAGTGGTGGGAACAGCTATGGTGCCCTCCCATATTATAGGGTTGCATCAGGAATTCCCAAGGAGGGTAGCCCAGAACCTGGGCATTCAACCAGAGGAGATCTCTGAATCCTCCCCCATTTAGTGGATATTATAATGGCCTCAGGACCATCATGGGCTGCCCTGCCATTGAAGAGGATGGAGAGGAGGTACATTTGTCCCTCCCAAGGGGTATACATTTTTGTATGTTAACACCCCTCCCCCACCCCCGGCTCGCTGGTTGTTTTGGTGGTGAACAAAAGGGAGAGACAGAGGCAACAGGGGCGAACCCCTAAGGCCAAAGATGCCAAAAAACTCTATCTTTTTGGCAGAAAGGTCTACTCTACTGAGCCACCAGCTCAAGATATACCAACCTACAAGCACTTGGTGGTTGGCAGACTTTAATTCCTGGAGTGCTATGGCAAAGTTCAGGGAGCTCTTGCTGCAGGAATCCAGGGGTGAGTTTTCAGCCATAGTGTAGAAGGCAAAGCAGTGGCCATGGCGTCTCTCCAGGTGGCTCTGGACACGGTAGTCTGCTCCTTGGCTTTGGTGGTGGTCATGAGGCAAAGCTTGTGGCTTCAGTCTTCGGGTCTACCCTGTGAGGTCCAGCAGGCAATCCCGGACCTGTTGTTTGAAGGCAGATCACTCTTTTTGGAGCAAACTGATTTGAAGCTCCATAGCTTGAAAGACTCAAGGGCTACTCTGAAATCTTTGGGTCTGCATACACCAGCTCCTGCTAAGAAGCACAGGTTCTACCCTATGCAGAAGAGACAGGAATACAGCAGGAGAAAGAACAGAGGCTATAGGAGGAGGAACCTGTCCCAATCCTCATCTGCCCTAGCACCTGCCCCCCACCCCTCCCGAGACATTTATCAGGGTTTAAGTAGGCCTTTTGAGGGTACGCCTCAGGATGGTGTACCAGGACGGTGTCTCGATCCTATTTCTCCTACGTTTTGTGGACCGGTTGTCCCACTTCTATCAGGTGTGGGCCTGCATTACTGCAAATTGTTGGGTAGTGTGCGTGGTGGAAGTGGGATACTCTCTTCAATTCAGTTGTTCTCCCACCCTCCCCATCCTCCTTCAGGAACCCTTCTCATGAGAGACTTCTAGCTGAAGAGGTGCAGTCACTCCTAATCCGTGGGAGCAGTGGTGGCGTTTCCAACAATGCTAAGGGGTTGGGGTTTCTACTCCTGTTACTTCCTAATCCCAAAGGCCTATGGCGACTGACCTGGGGTGCCTGGGGAAGCCCTCACTGAAAATGCCAGGCTCAGGGCAGGCTGCAAAAGAGTGCAGAGACTCTCAAAACTGGTGGTTAACGCTGAAGTTAAACTCACCAACCCGTCACAAACTGTGCTGCTGATCCCCCCCCCACACTGGTTATGAAGAAGTTAAAAAAAGAAATCACACCGCCCCCTTTATTGCATTCTGTTCTCTGGCTCCCAATCAGCATGCAGGTCCAGTACAGTGAGAAGTTTAGGAACTCTGCTCACATCTACAAAATGTTCTTCTGACCCCAAAGGGTCTGCCACATTACTAGATCAATATTCGTTTGGATCTTACCCAAAATATTCTGCTGACAGCCAGTCCTTTAGTGTCTAAAACCATAGGTTTATTATAAGGAAAAAAGATACATACAGAGACTTCAAAGTCCATATATCAGTTTCTTAGCAGTATTGGTGAGTTTGCTGGCTTGAAAGTCCCTCTGGAATATATCCACAGCTTGGATAGGTTGTTCAGAGTTTTGTTTGTAGGAAAGTTACTCCAGAGGTAAGAAGCAGGAATGAAGACAAAATTGAGACAATGCAGCTACCCTTTATATTCCTTTTGCCATGTGGCTTGTACTTCCTGTGTCCCAAACATAAGCTTCAGAGCATGTGGAAAAGCTTCAGAGTTCTTCTCTATCCTTAGATATGCCCCTAAAAGTCCTGCTGACTCATAAAGTTTATTCCCTGGCTCCTTTCAATGGATTCATTGTACAGATGATGACCCTTGATGGGTCATCAAATAGGCATCAGCACTGCCTAGCCTGTCTCTCTGGGGTGTCATCTGGATGCACAGAACCAGTGTGAAATACAGATATATCCTACATATCTAACTCATGATACAAAGGTAATACAAACCTATAAACAAGATTATCATACTTGGCAAATCATAACATTTTCACTGATACCTTACATGGCATATCTGATCAGATTCCTTGCAATTTTATAATATTGGTATCAATAGTGTTTATAAATGTCTCATATTCCATACAGCATCACAGCGACCTCAGAACAATTGTTGGATTTGTGAAACCTCAACAGATTCATGAAGAAACTGAAGTTCCGCATGGTCTCCTTGGCCTCCATTATCCATCTCTAGATCCAGGGGACTGGTAGGCCGTCCTTGATTTAAAGGACCTATATTTCTAGATTGCTGTCTTTCAAGGGCACAGAAGGTACGATTTGTGGTAAACCACAGACATTACCAGTTTATGGTACTCCATGCAAACCAGGCCAGAGATTTTCTCCCAGAAAGTCGGTTCAGAGCTATAGAGGCACTCCTAAAGAGCCTGAGGGATCACCACAGCAAGAAACTGCTTAAAGCTTCTGGGGCATATGGCATCATGCACCTACGTGGTGCAATGTGCAAGACTGCAACTAAGACCTTTCCAGTCTTGGTTGGCATCTGTATAAACACCAAGTTGGCATCACCTGGACAAGGTGGTCTCATTTCCCCTGTTTTGATGATTTCCACCCTCCCTTTGGACCTGGAGACAGTGTGTGCAGGAGTTCCATTCTTGAGACCTCCACCATCAAGGTCTCTTGTCACAGACGCATCGGAGATGGGATGGGGGCCCGCCTACGGACCTTCAGGACTCAAGGCTACTGGTCCCCAGAGGAACTTGAGTTACACATCCAATGTGAGAGAATTGAGGGTGGTGTGCCTAGCCTGCCAAGCTTGGCAACTGCATGTCTGTCCTCACAGACAACACAACAGCAATGTTTTACATAAACAAACAGGGCAGAGCTCGCTCCTCTCCCCTATGTCAGGAGGATCTGCACCTATGGGATTTCTGTATAGCCCATTCCATTAACCTCAAAGCCTCCTACCTCTCAGGGTCTCAGAACAAGCGAGTGGATCATCTCAGCAGATCCTTTTCCAACAGTCACGAGTGGTCCACTTGCACAGATGTCATGTTTTTCAGAGGCAGGGATTTCCCCAGGTAGATCTGTTCGTGATGAAGTACAACAGAAAATGTCTTCAGTTCTGCTCCTTCCTAGGCCACAGTTTGGGTTCGCTCACAGACACCTTTCTCCTTCCTTGGACAGATCAGGTCTTCGCCACGTTCCTTCCCACTTCTCTCATACACAGGGTCCTGCTGAAGGTCAGAAGGGATAGGACAGGGCTGATCCTGATAGCCCTGGCCTGGCTGCACCAGCACTGGTTCACCACCCTCCTAGATCTCTCGATGGACACATCAATCACCCTACCACTATTTCTGGACTCTTATCTTTCAAGATCACGGTCACCTATGTTACCCAAACCTCCAATATCTCCACCTCACAGCATGGAAGCTCCATGGCTGAGCCCAGCAGAATGGGCTTGCTCAGGGCCGGTTCATGAGGTGCTCTTAGGTAGCAGGAAGCTGTCTTCTAGAGCCACTTACCTGGCAAAGTGAGAGATTCTTGATTTGGTCAATGCAGAAGGGTGTTTTGCCTACTGAGTCATCACTGCCCTTCATTTTAGATTACCTGCTTCACTTAAAGCAGGAGTGTCTGACGGCAGTCATCCACAAGGGTCCATCTATATGCGATCTCTGCATTTCACCCTTGGGTGGGTGGCAGGTCGGTCTTCTCAAACTCAATCAGTGAACGGCTGTATCCACAGGTATCTCAATATGGTGCTGACAAGGCTAACAGGACCCCTATTTGAACCACTGGCAACATGCTCCCTGTTCTATCTGTCTTGGAAGGTGGCCTTCCTAGTCACCATTACTTCTGCCAGAAGGGTCTCAGAAATCCAGGCTCTTACCTCCAAGCCACTGTGTATACTGTTGCCTTCAAGGACAAGGTACAGCTGTGGCCACACCCATCCTTTCTACCAAAGGTGGTCTCACAATTCCATAGTAACCAGGACGTCTTTCTGCCAGTCTTCTATCCTAAACCACACACAAACTGAGATTTGAAGCGTGCACTAGCTTTTTCTGTAGAGGACCAAACTTTTTAGGAAGACTGGCCAGCTATCCATAGCCATTACAGCCAGAACAAAAGGCCGTCCAGTCTCGGCCCAGAGAATGTCATCATGAATCACTTTCTGTATCCGCTCATGCTATGACCTAGCAAAGCTTCCAGCTCCTTTGGTTGACAGCCCACTCTACGAGAGCTCGAGCATTGTCAGTGGCATTTGTGGCACAAGTTCCAATCAGGGTGTGTGTAGAGCGGCAACTTGGTTGTCAGTCCACATGTTCGCGTCGCCCTATGCCATCATGCAACAAGCCAGAGATGATGTGGGCTTGCTATTAGTCAGCATGCTAATGAACTCTGAACCTTCCACCTGTATAACTGCTTGGGAGTCACCTACATTGTAACGGACATGAGCAAGCACTCAAAGAAGAGAAAAAGGTTACTAGCCTTCCATAACTGTTCTTCGAGATGTGTTGCTCATGTCCATTCCACAACCCAGCATCCTGCACCTCTGTCGGAGTTAGCCGGCAAGAAGGAATTGGCAGGGTGGCAGGCCCCTGTATACTGGCGCTATGAGGGCACGACTCTAGGGGGCACCAGAGTCGACAGATACCGCGGAGGGGTAACTTTCTGGTGGTGGTGCACGTGGCACCTGCACAGCTATGTTGGAATGGACATGAGCAACACATCTTGAAGAACAGCAGTTACGGAAGGTTAGTCACTGTTTATCCGTGATGAAAACCTGGAAGGTTGTTACAGTGTGTGTATTGCTTGTTGTTGTTTTTGATCAGAAATATGCAAATATGTCAGGTTTGGTCTGCATTGGTTTAGTTAAAGAAACTTTAGGAGTTCATTGTGAACTAAGATATCTTATGAATGGCAAGGCTGTTCTATCTTCACATTTTAGCTAAAGGAAATTTTTATTTAACTAGTTATTGCAGTTATATAGGTGTTAGTTTTAACAGTAACTAAAAATCCCTTTTCCCCTTCACCCCTTCAGTTGCTCACCTGTCATTCGTGGTCCTCTTGATGTCACCATTGGGCTAGTTCTCCATCTGCCATACTCTTCCAGCCTCGACAGGCTTTCAAGTGTTTTATATCAATCATAAGAAAAGAAAAAGGCACACATTTTTTCTTTGTGGGTCTTCTTTAGCAAGTCTGAAACCTGATGGCAGCAATTTAAATATTCGTAATAAGTGCTATGGCTCTTAACCAGTGTTGGGTACTGTTAGCTAGTCCAGAATTTGGATGGAAAAGACCTTTTCTGTAACTGCTCCATCTGCAACTGCAGGATTGTTATCTACAGTGTATTCTCTGGATCTTCACCAGGTTTAATTTGAGATGGTAGCTCCATTCACTGACCGTGATTATAATTTTTATAAACTTTTTTTATAAAACTTCAGGTCAGTAGAAATGTTTCTCTGCTTTTTACAGATTTTTTTTATTGTAATTATACCACCTGAAAGATGCTCTTGCAGCCTTAGGAATCAAAGTGTTGTAGCATTAAGATCCTGAAACTGATTTTCATTGTCCATGCTGAGAGAATAACTAGAAACAATTCTCTTATAATCTAAGGTGTTCGCAAAGAAATTAGTTTTGTAAAATCAAGCTATGTTAAATTGAGTGTCCTTTTAAATTTTCATAACTTACACACGTTGTCTGACTATCAAAGGTTGCATATTTGGGTGTTAAAGATTTTAACTGCTATGAGTACACTAAAATATTATTATTATTATTTTTTTTTTGGTAGTAATCCAGTGGATTTGAGTAACCCAGCCATTATAAGCTCTACCCCCAAATTTCAGGAGCAGTTTCTGAATGTGAGTGGAATGACTCAAGAATTGAATCAGTATCCCTGCCTTAAACATCTGCCTCATATATTCTTTCGTGCCATGCGTGGGATCAGCTGTTTAGTGGATGCGTTCCTAGGTAATCTCTCCACTTATTTGTATATAGTTAGAACATGACCATCTGTCCTAATTTAATACAAGACTTCAAGTAATCTTTGTTTATGCTTTTAGATCTGGATTTTCAGAATTGTGTGCATTGGGTTTTTTCATGCACAACTAATGCTTTTGCCTACGTTCTCACAGCACATTTACTTGCAAATGGCAAATGAGACTTCTAACTGGCCAGTTATGTGTGCATAGTTATTACATTTGCCTAAATCATCCTACAAATGTGTACACAGTTCTGAAAAGCTGGGCTTAATATAGTACAGCCAAAATTTGTAAACTGGGCCTCCAAAATCAGGCTTCTAAGTCACCTGGTTTTTCAGCGGTTCTGAGCACCAACAATTTAGTTTATAAAGCTCTTTGAGGCACAGTGCTTATTACTATGAAGCACTGATCTTTGATTGTATTGCTCTTGGAATACAAATTTAATAATCGTTGAAGTCCATGGGATTTGCAGGTGCTCAGCATTGGTGAAAAACAAGCCACATTTGTTTAGGTGCCTCTTAGGAGTCTAATTTAGGCCTCCAGGTTTCAAAATGTTGTTTGGTAACATGATATAATTTATGTAGAGTTTTTGATGTATTAGGTATTATGCCTCTTACCTTCCTGAAGATTTATCTAGACTTAAAACTTCCTCAGATTTTTGTGTGCTATATTGTACTTCAGCTCTTATTGCCTGTTCTCCGCTTTTTTGACTGACGTTTTTAATATTAACAAATAATCTGTTCTGACTCCCAGAAGTCTGAACTGATAAAACCGGTTGTGGAAGACTATAGAGTAAATACATGTCACTACTATGCTCATGGAAAAAAAGTTAATCTGTAACATAATGCTACCTAATTTACATTTCTTCCTTTGAAGGAACCTGGACAGTTTAGTTCCCTCAAATTAAAAAAAAATGTATTTGCCACACTGCTTTTATAAAGCAACTAATATTCTTTTGACTAGTAATACTTGTTTAGTTAGTATACTAATGTTACATGTTAATATAATCTGTTTGTATTAGGATGTTGCTTGTTGCAAACATAATTCAATGAGCATATATTTCATTTTCTAAAGAATGGCTTTATCAAATGCTTCTATTGTATATTGCAGAAAGCAGCAAATTGATTTCTTTCTTCTCTAGGAGTTGCAGCCTTTACGAACAGTGGGTGTGAAAGATTACCCAGATATGGTATTAAGTCTTGTTGCTCTCATTTTGGTAGCAAGAATCTGGGCAGAAGGGCTGATAACTAATACTGATGTACAAAACAAAGTTGTAAAAGCTGCAGTATTCTGTCATTATGTGTAAAAGTGTTGTTTCAATCTTTTGTATTATAAGGAAATATTTGAATTTGTTAAAAGGACATTGTTATGGTATGGCAACTTAAAAATGTTAACTATTTATTATCGCCTTGAAGAGGTCTAAAATTGAAATCTGTTCCAATTTTTTTACCCATTGGTTTGTCATAGGGCCGGTTTTTTGTTTTTTATTGTTTTTGTTTTTAAACAAAACTCTGAAGTGTTTGAAGTTTAAAACATTATACATTAATTGCAGTGATTTTGCAAACAGATATAGAATAAAACTTTCACATTGGAACAAACTTCCAGATGCATCAACTTTAAAAATATTTGTATTAACAATGTTATCTATTTTGCATAAACTTTCTCAGAATTGCTACGGACTACAACATTTTTATCCCTAAACTATTGCTGCTATTTATCTGAGCTTCAGTGAAGTCATAACATTGCAATTGTGCTGCAATAACCATGCTAAGAATATCATAAATGAAGAATTATGACCTCACTGCAAGATCTAATAGAAGCTGGGTTTTGTGGAATGTGAACTTCTTAAAATCAAAAATAGGTTTAGTTCTGGTGAGGAACACAGAGTGCTCCAAGCCACTTTCACTTTGTATATAGACTCCTTTCAAGTTTGTTCCGGTATGAAAGAGGTGCCCTTAGTCATTTATAGGAAAAAAACAAGGTTAATCCTGCTCCTGGGTTCCTGCCAATGGTGTCCCTTCAAACCATTTGTTTTACTGCTATCAAGCATAAAGTTCAAACTGAACGTTTGAGTTAGTTTAACACAGAATACTGCTTCTTTGTAATTACAAAATTAATAATCCTCTCAACACTGTGTAAATCGTATTTGCTTCGTGTATTGTGCTACATGTTGCACCAGTGCAGGCAGAAGTGCAGAGGTGTCATGTTACACATTGGCTAACTGCCACTGTCCTTTCAGTTTTACATTGGTTAAGCTTTTGAATTTGCTTAGATTCATATATACTTTGAATATACTCTTGATACATTACTCAGTGACTAAGAGTTTGAAGTACGTATTATGTTCAGGATGAATTTTCATGGTAAAAGTACTTGAAAATAAATATAACGTACTGCCCTCCTCAGTTTGTACGGGGCTATGTAATGTTGCCAAGTCTTGCATTCCTGACTCTCTGCACTGTTTTCCTGCCCTGATATAGGAAATGTCCTGGCGCTGATTTTATTTTTAATACATTACATGTGAAGAATTTATAATTCAGCAGTTTGATAAAAATGTCTATTAATAACGTGGTACTGCCTTCTAAATAATAGATTAGTGACCTTCTACACAGCAAACTTATTGTAAGTTGTTGAACAGTGCAGACATAGAATTTACATTTTAATCTCTAAAAGAAGCTTCACTGGTATAAATATTTACAAAGGGATGAATCTTTAAAATATAGTGCTTGATTGTGCATTTCTAAGCCGGCTCCCACATATTTGATTCTCCCCAGGTGGGAAAAACAGACTTTGGGCTGGCTAACTCCTGCCTTAGATTGGGAGGCTGGTCTTGAGACTTTTGTTGCTACCTAATAACTAATTAGCAAAACTACTTTGTCCAGTAGTGTCAGAGAGACCTTACAATGAAAGGTGAGGGGTGAAAGTGAATAAGGACCAACTGCAGCTCCCTGCTTCCAGTTATGTATCACAGCCTGGAATGCTGTACCCAGCAGAAGACAGGGTTGTCACTTTGGGATTGGGAGCAGAAGCCGATGGGCTAACTACAAATGTTTGTTTCAGATATGCAATATTGCTTCTTTATAGCTTTCTTTTTACATTCTTCCATTCCTCTGCGGGCATGGAGCCTTAGATTACCCACCTGATTTCCTTTTTTTTTTTTTTTTACACTATTCAGTGTAAATATGTGTAATAAACTATGATAGTGGTAACTAAACTTTTTCTCTTTGTCCTGAAAATATTGGTAGACTTTCTGTGATTAGTATCTGGACAGGTTCAGTACTTAAGCACCTCGCAGAGAATGTGTGGAGAAAGTGAAAAAGAAAGTGTTGTTTACCACTTCACAAAACACGAGAACCAGGAGTTACCCAACAAAATTAGTAAGCAGCAGGTTTAAAACCAACAAAAGGAAGTATTTCACACAGCGCACAGTCAATGTGTGGAACTCTCTGCCAGGGGATGTTGTGATGGCCAAAACTATAACTGGGTTCAAAAAAACATTCCATAAGTTCATGGATGATAGGTCCATCAATATAAACAAGGATGGTTAGGGATGCATACCCATATTCTGGGTGTCCCTAAGCCTCTGACTGCCAGATGCTGGGATGGGATGAATCACTTGATTGCCCTGTTCTGCTCATTTCTTTTGAGGCATTGGCCAGTGCTGGAAGACCGGATACTGGGCTAGATGGACCATTAGTCTGACCCAGTATGGTCATTCTTACGTTCTTAAATGCCCTGCCATAGCCTATTAATTTCTTTCTTTTTTTCTTTTTTTTTTTTTCCCCTAATCTTGCAAACACACTTTCGCCTTGTATCCTGGTTTCTCAGACTGGCCTTAAAGATATTAGTTTCTCTGCAAACCACAAAGATTAAGCGCTCTATCCCACAATGATCTCCCGTTACATTTTCTAAGACGGATGTTGGGGGAGGGGGAGCTTTTAATTGAAGTGGAGGATGAAGTGGATTGTCCTTTGTTAGTTTCATTCAGACCTCTCTGTGTAGAGTAAAAGTGAATTGGTTGTTCTGAACCCATGACTAGAAAGAAAGTGGCTTTCTACAAACTGTCTGCATTCCATTCTACCGTCTGGTGCCCTCACTCCTCCACTTTCTTAGGTGCTTATGTGGGTGTTTGGTCACCTTTGATAAGCAGTGGTCTGTCATGTAGATTTAACTCAAATGCTTTTCTGGACCGCTTGTCAATCTCTACTAATACTGAATGATAGATGCTTTTTTAACTCTGTGGTGTTTGGGGGAATCTTTGATGCTAATGATTTACAGAATGCCTTAATATCTAGTCATACAGATTATGCCATAGGGCTCTAAAAGTACTTTGCACTGAGTTTAGCTTTATTTTGTTCTTCAGGCATTTCACGACCCCGGTCAGACAGTGCTCCCCCCACGCCAGTAAATAGGTTGAGCATGCCACAGAATACTGCTATCAACACAACCCCACCTCATAACCGAAGGCATCGGGCCGTGACTGTGAATAAGGCAACAATGAAAACCAGCACTGTAAGATGTTATGCTTAGTACTTCAGTATTTTTCCGTTTGATCTTGTTGATGGTTTCTTCTGCTTCTGTGTATAAAGAAATATAAAATTGCCTTAAAAATTTCTAATAGGGTGAAACTTTTCTTTTATTCAAATAGGTTAGCACTGTTCACACATCAAAAGTGCAGCACCAGCCGTCGTCATCCACCTCTCCATTGTCTAGTCCAAACCAGACTAGTTCTGAGCCTCGACCACTACCAGCTCCCCGCAGACCAAAGGTTAACAGCATCTTGAACCTCTTTGGATCATGGTTATTTGATGCAGCATTTGTTCACTGTAAACTTCATAATGGAATAAATAGAGACAGCAGCATGACTGGTAAATATTGCTGACCAAATATATGCAACTCTTTCCTTGCTTACTGACATTTCCTACCTGCAAGATTAATATTTGCTTAATCAAAAATAAATAAATAAATTTGAATGCTCTCTGATAAAGCACTGTATTATGGTTAACCCTTTCCAGCTGAACTAACCCAAACTGGCACCTTTACTAGCAGCTCAGCAGAGATCTCTTCTGAGTTTGGTTTTATCTTAGAAATAAAATATCACCTAGACTTTAGTACATACTTGTTAAATCACATGTTACTAATTAGATAACCAGGCAGTTTCCATTATGTCAGCTAGGAGACTGTTATTAAACAAAAGAAATACAGTGTAGTGAGGGAGTTTCCCTTTGTATCTTGGAAAAGCATCACTTTGAGTAAGAAAAGTTGTTTGTTTTTTTTCTTATAATGGCAGTGCTTTAATACATTCACATGAAAAGACTGGCAGCATCATTACAGATGCCGTTCTGCATCTTGTAACTTCACTTGACCTTAGTATGGGAGAACAGGATTTCTACATCTTCACAAAAGGAAAAACTCAAGCAAAATCATTCCCTTTCAGTGATGGTTAACCACATCAACAGACTGGTAGTTTTCAATCCTCCTAACTGTTAGATTTGTTTTCAGTAGTGTAGAGAACCTGGTTTCCATGGCTAGATCTGTGTGAGATACGACATATTGTAGAAGTAGTGCTGTCTGTATTGGTGGTGGTCTGTTCAACATGTTCTTCAAGTAATAGGTCAGATTTAGTGGCTTAAAAAAGAAAAAATCAAATCCATAACCAGGTAGGAGAAGTTTGTATTAGCAAGTTTAGGTTTAGAGGTGGGACTCAATAGCAATTAAATTGGCTAGCTTCCATGTTTGTCCTGCAGAAAATACATTCTTTGATGTGTTAAGCTGATATGATATAATTATTCAGTGAGTTTTGCAGTGTTTGTTCTAAATACGTATGTCAGGCATATAAGGCCTGATTTTCAGAGGTGCCCTTGACTTCAGTGGGAAATGTATGTTCTCAGTTTCTCTGAAAAATCAAGCCAGTAGTACACATTTAGAGAGAGAGAAGTGGCTGAGCTTAGGAAAACTGAACAATTTAAGAGTAAATTCACACCTGCATGCACAGGTGAGCAAACTAATACCTTTATTATTAACAGGGGTTTCATATCACTTTAAACACTGAATTTACAACTTGGTCTATTTGTTTCTTAAGTTGGACTATTTTAAAAGTTTACAGGTGTTCTCTTAGAACTGGATGTAGATATAAATATAGTATGAGCAATTTTGAATAAAATAAAATTGCAGTGTGCACAACATCTGAGCTGTACGTTTACTCCACTCACTTCCTTACAAATACTTTTGCTACGTGGATTTTTAGAAGTAGTTCTTACACCCAAATTACTTTTTACGTACCAGTAAATCTGAGACAGAGAGAGACAGACCAAGGAATAGTTTGGGGGTGTTAATTAAAACATCTCGTTGTCCAAAAATTGTAACTTGGTTGAAGTAAATCTTTCATTCTCCAAAGCTGCTCTGTGCTAGCCTAGCCAGTGGATATAAGTCCTATGCCATTAGAGGGAGATTGTAATATTTGTGCCCCAGTGGAGGGACATGGCTTTCTGGCTGATGCTGTGCAGTTTCCTGTCTCAAGCAGTTAGACATAGCTGTCTGGATGGGTGAGGCAGACCTGTGTCTGTAGTTGCATAGACTATTTTAACCCCAATCTTTTTTTTGCCCATGAATGGAGTGCTTTGCAGTCAATTCTGTCCCTCTTTTATGCTCTCCAGAGCCTACAGGGAGAGGCCAACCTTTGCCTGACATGTCCTGCTGATTCCCCGCAAGAAGGCACTTAAGATACAATGATGATAGGCCGCCTGATGAAGACCCAGATAGACAGAAAATAGTGTTCTATTTCTCTGTGGCTTGGAAGGTAGAGGTTTGGTTTGTGAGCAGAAACCTCCTGAATTTGGAAGTCTGACCCAGTCCATGCAATTCCTTGATTTCACTACTTTGTGCATTTCTCCCATTCCCACAAGGAGGAATGCCTTCTTGGGGGACAGCTTTATTTATGTCGTGATATCGTTTAAGGAGAAAGCTAATGTAACACTCAGAAAATAAAAATCCTTTTCAGCGTCAGCCCTTTTGATTTTGAGACTCCCAAGTCCTGTAGACTAAGGAAGATACAGTTCCTTTCCTTTTCAGAGTTATAGATTGCCTGATCGATCTTTCTTCAGGTCAAGAGTGACTAGTTTGGCCCTGGCAGCTCCTGCATACAAATGGACTTAGGTCCACAACAGCCATACTCTTGGGAGGCTCTAGTGGTTTGCCTTCACGTGAACTGAATGCTAGTCACTGTGCCTCATAGCTTCTTACTTGAATTTGCCTATATGCCTCGTGAGAGAACTTTTTTCCTCATCTTCATATAAAAAGGAATACAATCCAGGAAATTGAGTCTTCTGGTAAAGATTCAAGCTCTAGTACAAAACAGTTGGAGAACATACTCTTTGGTATGTTGAGGCATTTGGATTCTGATCTGTTCTGTATTGAACTTGAAGTCAGTAAAAAGTCCCTTCTCCGCTTGCTGCCCTGCGAAATGAAGACTCTAAGCTCCATGACTCAGCCAGGCAGTCCAGGTAGTTTGCTTTGTGCTGGCCACGTACAGACTGTTCACCTGTACATTAATCCAGCTTGCTGAAACCCCTCTTCTTCTTCATTCTGCGTCAGTATTGATAATTTGTGGCCTTTGCCTTTCGGCTCATTGCAATGACTCGTATGCTTACGACTTGTCTGCACGTGAACTAGCACTTAAATAACTACATCGGTTGTAATTCACGCCTGTTGTGATATCAGTGCAGAAATGTTAATTTTTTTATTATTATTTTATAAAACTTTTAGTGCTCAGGAGGTCTTTTAGCTGCAGAGTGTTAGCCAGACATCCTCATCATATAGATGAGTAACACCACAGAGCTATGCTTCTGTGTCCATCTGATGGTTGAAGGACTTATATCTACTTTGTTGAATGGAATAGAGAGAATTTTGAAGTAACCAAAATAAGGGGGGGAAATTACCACTAGTAGCACTAAAATTTTACTTAATCCTTCAGACGCTCACACTTAGAACTTTTCCTTTTAAAAGGATCCTGAAGACCTTTTTGTTTTCCAGAATTCTATACTTACCTTATTTGTATTGTGTGAGACACCCAGAATGCTTCAGCATGTAGGCCCCATATAAATAAAATGCTGTCTAGCTAAGGCTGAGAGACCATCCCAACCCGAGTAGACAAATTCATGTAAGCAGGGCTTGAGCTAGCATGCTAAAAATAGCCGTGTGGATGTTGTTGCACCAGCAGAGGCTTGGGCTTGCCACCCAAGCTCAGACCCCTGCCCTCCCTGACCTTTTGGGTCCAAGCTTGGGTGCTGGTCAAAGCCTCCACCAGTGCAGCAAGATCCACACTGCTGCTGTTATGAGTCTGTGTACCCGAGCTGAGAGGCTGCTGCCAGAGAGCACCACAGTATGTGTTGCCATACAAACAAGGTGCATTCTGAGAACTTAGGCAATTTCAAAAGGATCCCTTTACTAAACTTTGTGACACATCACTTCTCCCATCCTACAGTAGATTCCTTGTGATGGTCTTTATGGCTCTGTCTTCCATGAAGCAAGGAGGCAAAGAGCTGTCAGTCATAGCCAGTATAAAGGAGCCAACCCATAAATGTTCCCCCTCAGTTCTTTGTCTCCTTGTCCTGGAACTCCATACCTCATGACTCCGCTTTAATTTTTTTCTCTAACTTTCTCTCTCTCTCGTTCCATAGAGAAGGCAAGAATGAGAAAAATGTGGGTGTTGGGGAGAAGAAGGGAGGGGAGGGTTGGACAGCAAGCAAATAACCTTTCCTACAGATTCCACAGCTGGATCACGGCTGAAAGCTCTTGGGTCAAACAGGAAAGAATCTTCTAAGGATCCAGCAGGAAAACTCTGTCCTTTCCACCTAACCTTCTCATGACCAGAGGGGAGCTTGGGGTTAGCCTGCCTCCTTTGGCAAGCCTGAGCTGTTCCTACAGATCATCTGGCTCCTTCAACATGGCATGACTTTTCTGCTTGTTTAGGCAGCTAGCCTCCAAACTCCTCCCTGAGCTGAGAGCTCTCTGCAGTCTTTGTTTGAATGACAGATTACTAGCCACCACAGCAGCTAGCAAGGTAAACCCAAATGTAATGAGCCCTCACTGTTTTCAGGGGCTCTGTGTCTCTGATTTTGGACCCTCATTCACAATGAATGCAATCACTGCCCCTTTTCTGCCAGTTCAGATTAATCTTCATTGTCATTGGGAAAGCTTACAATAGTGCCCCTTGCACAGCTGATTATAGCCTGCAACATCTTATAAGTTATTTTCAAACACTCCGTTTTTGTCTGCTTCTGCTTTGGCGTATGTGTGGAGTGTCTTCCTTCAAGCAAAGAGTATTAATAAGACTCCACTTCTGTATAATTCTGAGTACATCTAGAGTCTCATGGCCCAGGAGGATCCTTTGCCACTCTGCATTCTCAGGCCTGTCTCTTGCATTCTGACTCAGAAGCAGCAACTTGTCTGCTGGCTAGCCAAGATTCTTGTGCTTTGGGGGTCCTATGTCAGTTAGTGCAGGAACTCAATGGACTGAGTTGCATTCCAGGTGGCTAGAAATTTCCATCTCTTATCAGAGATGGATGGTATTAAGATCTACTGCTTCATAATATGCACCCAAAAGACTTAACTTCCTTTTATGAAGTCTTGGGGTAAAGGAGAGGTGATCTGTTCTAGATTCAGGCACTTGCTTTGTGGGGAAAGTCAGTTTTGTGTGTGTGTCATTCTCTAGAATTAGACCACGTGGCAGGTTCCCACTCCAGGGACTGTTCCTTGTCTGATGTCCAGTTCGTCTTTGTGTCAGCAGAGCTGCCCATTAGCCGCTGGTGGCTAATTACCTGATCAGCAATAGATATCAATTTCTCCTCTGTACATTGTAACTGCTTCA